TAATTAACAAACAATTTACTATATTAATTACCAGTTAATTTAAAGGTCAAGAATGCAAAAGAACACAGGAAGGATCATACTGTATTTAACTGGTCATTATCATAAGTATATTCAGTACAATTAATATCGAAATGACACTAGGTTTGGTATACAGGAATTTGTGCTTCTCCATCAGATGCTAATTGTCTCAAGTTTCATAATTAATATCCTCTGTTATTGGACGGAAGTCAGTGGGGATCATCCGACTGGACTATTCACAGAATATCCATTCCTGCAAAACAATTGGATAAATAGATCTAAACAACAATATATCAATTTTAATCACAAAATTATCAACAATTTCTGTAACGTCAGTATTATATATGATAAAACTGTATGCGATAAACTTGTTAAATAAGGACAATAGGCATTTTGTAATTATAAATTATATATCATTTTTAAAAAAAATTATGAATAGTTTGTCCAACTATGTCCTAGCTAAATTTCATATAGGCATGACATGTCATGACACGCATGACACACTTATATACGCCATGGGAAGCGCTGTGGAGGACATATTGTCGTCTATGAAACTGACCAACGCTCGAAGAAATATTTCCAAAAATTATTGAAGATAAGTTTAATGAGTTTTTTTGTGGTAAGAAGAAATACCATCTACGAAAGAGCGAAATTTAATCAGCGAAAACAGGCGGTGAGCCAGTTGATAAGGTGAGCCAGTTGATAAGTTTATTATTTCGTTATATTCTCTAGCTGAACATTGTGAATATGGACAATTACATGATGAAATGATTAGGGATAGAATTGTAGTGGCTTGCATGATTATAGGCTTGCAGAGAAGCTTCAGCTTGATGCTGAACTTACTCTAGAAAAGGCTATAAAAAAGGCCAGTGAATCTGAAATAATAAAGAAACAACAGGCTGTAGTTCGCCAACAAGAAACGTTGATGGCGGTAGATGTTGTAAAAAAAAAAAAAATAAAGTTTCTAAAGCGATATGTGGCGCTAGACCACAATTTACGAATTTTTGCTGTAAGACGGCTAATTTTAGTAATACGTCTCAGCAATGCGGACGTTGTGGTAAATATCCATCCCATCACAGAGATAAATGCCCCGCAAAAGATATGATCTGTAATAAGTGTAAAAGAAAGGGACATTTTGCAAGATGGTGTAGATCATCAGGTGCTACAGTAGTAGCAGATGTTTCCTGGGAGAGGTAAATTCATGTAGTATTGACACTGGTACAAGGGAAGAACCATGGTATACTAATGTGAAAATTAATGATCATAATATCAACTTCAAGATTGATACAAGATCCGATGTTGCGATGATTCCATATGAGAATTTGCAACTTAAGATAAAGAAATCTGATAAAGTTTTGTATGGCCATGGTCATAACAAACTTGAAGTTGAAGGTAAATTTATGGAGAAATTGATTGTTAATGTTAATGGTGCTAAACGTTCAACCAAACAAGACATTTATGTTGTTAATGAGTTAAGAAAATCCTTATTCGGACGTTCAGCTGTAGTTGGACTAGGATTAATTGAAAGAGTAGATATCAGTAATGTAAATACAGTTGCCAGCGTATGTTGGCCAACGGATCAGAGATTGGAGCAGATTCGTTTAGAAATATCAATTGATCCAGTATGCCAACAATTGATAAAGTATTGATTTGGGGAGTGGGCCAAAGGACAGATCAAAAATCCCAGATATTATTAAACCTTATTGGTCAGCACGGAATGAACGTACAGTTACTAAAGGACTTTTGTTTCAAGGAGATAGGCTCGTAGGCCTAATACTAGCAATGTTGAGAACTGAAATTTTGGAAAAGATACATGAGGGACATATGGGCATTACCAAGTGTCGCGAACGAGCAAAAGCGTCAGTATGGTGGCCTGGAATTAGCAGCCAAGTTGAAGATGTTGTGAACGCGTGTTACCGGTGTGATGAAACAAGAAACGTACGTCGCGAACCACTGCTACCAACACCAGTGCCTGAAAGGCCTTGGTAAATAGTAGGAAGTGATTTGTTTTATTTTGATGGGGTTAATTACTTATTAGTGATTGACTATTATTCGCGATTTGTGGAAGTAACTAAACTTACAGGCACACCTTGTGAGGATATAATATCCCATCTAAAGTCTATTGTCGCCACGGCATACCAGAAGTGCTGATGACAATAGACCGCAGTATTCTGGTCATTTGTTCAAGGAGTTCGAAAAAGAGTATGGATTTAGGCACAAAACCAGTAGCCCAAATCCACAAAGTTACGGGGAAGCGAAACGCTGTGTACAAACAGTTAAACAGGTGTTATGCAGAAATAGTAAACCCGTATAAAGCGTTGTTAATATATAGATCCTCACCCTTACATAGCGAAAGGATTTAGTCCGGCAGAACTGAGCTTCAGTCGCAAAATCAGAACTACAATTCCAATAACGCGTGAGCTACTGGACCCAAAGTGGCCCCAACCGAGCATAGTTCGCGAGAAGGAATCAATCGCAAAGGAAAAACAGAAAGTGATATATTACACACGCTATCGTACTAAGCTGCAAAGCGAGTTACAACAAGGCGATCCTGTTTATATCAGAGATCAAAAGTTGCGCGGATACATTGTTCAATCAGCAACCACCCCTCGCTCGTACATAGTTGAAACGGAGAGAGACTGAGTACGAAGGAATAGACGCGATATAATTCGGTTAAACAAGGATGTGAGCGTTAAAAGAGGGAACGCAAGCAGTGAACAGAATGAAAGTGTTGACAATGAAATACCCAACACTAGGCAACCGTTAGAAAGAGTAGAAACAAGAAGTGGTAGAGTTTCAAAACCGCCAGTAAAATTATATTTGTAAAGTTGACTGTTTATTGGGTACTATTGGTGACTGTTTATTGGGTACTATTGGTGAGTTATATAGAATGTTATATCGCAAGTTCAGTATGTTGTTTTACCCTAAGAGCCAGACCAGGTTTTGTATGCACTTTGAGGTGCAGAGAATTTGACACCAGAAATTTAGATATCTCGTTTAGAGTGTCTTTGAGCCCTTTTGTTATGACGGATGGATGTCCGAAACGTTTTTGTAGCTTTTGCCAGGCTTCTCGAGCTTTATCAGGGTTGCTGGTGTGCTTCTGGCAATAATAATCTACCAATATCCTAGGTGGTCCCTTAGTAAATTCAGAAAGATATGCGAGCTCGTCAGTCACATATATTATAGCTTTGTTAACAGGAGCTTTGAATGATCTACGCCAGGTTAAAAACACCATTGGTTTTGATGTGTTTCGCTCACATGCATTTTTCTGGAAAAGTAAAGCGTAATCGTTCGAGGTCTGGTTTGTGGTTGATAATACGAACCTTCATCTGTGAAGACTGCAGAAAGAGCATTTGCTCTGCATTGCTTTGTATTTGGATAGCAGCTTCACTATCAGCTTTGAGAGTCAACTCAGCTTCCTTTTCAGCTACAGTATCTGCTTCTCATACTTGGCTCTTGTTTCCGCGGCTTCCACATTTTAGCAACTTGCTCTGCAATCTGGCTAGAACTTGAGTTTTATTTCTTCGATCTCCGAGAAAATTAAGTGTGCATTGTCTTGACTGAGTAGTTGGATGTTAATTCTGCCATTAGGTTGTCTAATCTTGTTTCACTCATGTCATCAACATATTTATATTGGAGAACATGAATGTTGCGGTCGCTGCTTTAGCGCCTCTTAAAGTTGTTTTGTGTCATGTTCTAACACTCCAATAACAAAATCTTCGTACCCTTAGGTTTACTGAAAGTAGTGGGCATTTATTCATCTCAAACCTATGAATATTAATACCGTGTACAAACGTAAACTTAGTGTGGGTACATAGCCTGGTGAACTCGTTCTGCTAAGTAAAACACAAAAGAAAACATTCACCAATCATATAGCCACAAAGATAAAAACCATTAAACAATCATATAAACTGTCAGTGTTATACATGTAGAACGTGAATGTATCAACAAGCTATTTACCCGTAGCAGCTCTACCCGTACGCACTCAAGCGTGACGCACTACCGCAGTGGCGAATCCTCGCAACTTAATGATGATCATATTTTACGATGATTACTTAATTTAAACAACCTACATAACATCGTATCCGCCTATGGTAATATTATAACATGAATCAATAGAATCACCAAATATTCTTCTTTCATCTAGTCGACGTCTTAATGACTATTATGATGTTATCAGCAGATAAATTTGAGCAATTAGAAAAGAGTTATCATGGTATTACAACTGAATTGAACGTGCATACGACGCAGTTAGACCATTCGTGTATTATGATCGTTAACTAGCAGCATAGGCCCTAGGCCTATATCATACCTGGGAAAACACCAGGCCTAGGAGCATATATAACATAACTTATTCCATCAATACTGGACTAATCAACAAGTATTATATGTAACACATAAATGGTTAACTTTAACTAACCTTCAACAGTGTTTATAAAAACTATTCTAAACAGAAATCTTTGTTTACGAATATGTCTCTAGCAGCTTGCATTGGGTGGTTCTAGAAATTTCCTTTCCTGCAGTAGCGTAGTGCCCGTTACCTTGCCAACACTTTAGAGAGGGCAGCAAAATAGAAAAAAAAACAATATGCGACAGCAGTTACACTCCTTGCCGCAAATGACCAAGTATACGCAAGCACTCTTGAGCATTTCCACACCTATCAATACTAAATTTAACTAAGTTCGCAATTCAAACATACCAGGTAATGAACATTTTTAATTATAAATAACCGATTAGTGTTCAACAATGAGTTCTTTTGTAAACAGATATAACTTACTTGATGTCCAACTCCGACTTCATGTGACCATCATAGGGATAGACTACCCTCAGGTCCAAACACATGGTCATTATTCTGGCCCATATAAAAAAAAAAAAAAAAACAGAATTAGCTAAGTTCCAGTAAAAATTAAAGTGTTGATCAACTACTTCATCTGCAATCATTTCAATTCACATAGATGCAAAGTATAACTTCTTGGATGTACTTAGCTGGATTCATCATTTAACAATAACACCAACTTATGAACTGACCTGTCCAAAACTGAAGTTGCAGTGGTCAACTGAACTTTACGCACAAGACTGTCTTCACTTGGATACACTTTAGTCACTTTGCCAAGGCACCATTTAATGCGGGGCAGGTTTTCTTCTTTAATTATAAAAATGTCGCCTACCTTCATGTTCTCTTTGCGCTCTACCCACTTCTGCCTTGGTTGAAGAGAGGTAAGGTACTCTCTCTTCCATCTAGCCCAGAATTCGTTAGCTAAATGTTGTACTCTTCTCCATCTTCGTCTGCAGTACATGTCCGGTTTCTGAAAAACACCCGGTGGAGGTAATAACACTTTGGATTTCAAAGTCAATATGTGATTTGGGGTAAGAGGCTCAGCTCCATCAGCATCTGTCAACTGTTTAACTGTAATTGGTCGTGAATTGTCTATGTTCTGGGCCTCTGCCATAAATGTACGTAGTGATTCATCGTCGAGCTGTGATCCAGCTTGATGTATGAGTGGTTCCAGTACACTGCGCACAGTCCTTATCTGTCTTTCCCAAATGCCACCCATGTGGCTGCTTCTGGGAACATTAAACTTAAAATTGACAAACTCACATTTCTGCTTTAGTAAGTACTTGGATATCTTGTCTTGATCCAAACTTTGTTCGGTAGCTTTCATTAATTCATTATTCGCACCAATAAAATTGGTACCGCAATCTGCTCTTATCTGTCGGGTTGGACCACGTAAACACAGAAATCTTCTCATAGCATTGATGAAAGAGTCAGTGTCTAGGGAGTTTGTAGTTTCCAGGTGGATCGCTTTTGATGACATACAAACAAACAGCACACCATAGCGTTTTAGTTCCGATCTTCTCTCCTTAATCAGGAACGGGCCAAACAAGTCCACACCTACATATGAGAAGGGTGGAGCATCTGTCACTCTATCCATTGGTAGATCATTCATTTTCTGTGTTTGGAGCACACCTCTTAATTTTCTGCAGTTCACACACTTCTGTATGACCTGTCTTACCACGCCCGTTCCATTCACTATCCAAAATCCATGTTGCCGTGCATGGTTAAGTGTTGAAGTTCTTCCCATGTGGATAAGCTTTTCGTGGTAATGCCTCACAATCAACATTGAGATATGACCTTGTTTTGGCAGCAAAACTGGATATTTCACGTCGTATGGTTGGGTCGAGTTCTTAATCCTACCTCCAACTCGGAGTACACCATTCTTATCCAAGAAAGAATCTAACTTTCTCACTGAACTTGACCTAAGTAGACATTTGTATTCTCCTCGCCTCTTTTTGTCTTCAATGTTAATTTCTGTCAACCTTAATATCTGGATTTCTTTATTAAAATACTCCTGTTGAACGAGTTTTATTAACAGCATTTCTCCTCGTTGCAGTTCCTGTACAGTCATAGGATTATTACGAGTCGATTTCTCTTTATTAATCTTCTTCTCAGCTTTCAGCAACCTATCCTTAATCTTAAACAATTTGCTGCTGCTCGTGTGTCTTTATACCAACAGGAAAATGTTTCAAAGCGTTTCAGAATCCCATCATCTTCCTATGCTTTTGTAAGAAGGCTAGTTACATTACTCTTACATTTCTTTCTTAATGTCGGCGACATCACTGGCCTCATAGCAAATATCTGGATCCACTTGTGGAACAAACTCCTTTTCCCACAGAAATGGTGGACCATTTATCCACCTTGAATTAAGACTCAACTGCTTAGCCGTTAGTCCACGACTGCCATCGTCACTGGGATTGTCCTCCGATCGAATGTACCTCCACTGATTGATATCGGTTAGATCTCTGATGGTTTGAGCCCGATTTGCCACATAAGTGTGGAAACGTTTGGTTTCATTATTTATATATCCCAGGACTACATTACTATCTACCCAGAAAAACTGCTTTGTCATGCCACATCTTAGCTCTCGTTGCAGGTATGAAGACAACCTAGCTGACACCACTGCTGCTGACAGCTCCAGTCGAGGTATTGTAATTTTTCTATTTAAGGGTGTTACCCTGGCCTTGCCTAACACGAATGTTACGTGTGGTGCTATATTCTCGTAAACTACCCGAAGGTAAACTGCCACTCCATAACCAGTTTGACTGGCGTCGGAAAAATAATCCAGCTCCAGAGCGTTGATCTTCTCTTCCTTCCTAGGTTTCAGGCGGCGAGTAACTTCTAAACTTTCCAGTTCCTTGACACTGGACCTCCAGAGGATCCATCTTGACCTTAGCTCATCTGGAACTGGGTCATCCCATTCAACACCTTTCCTGCAAAGCTCTTGTAAGATGGCCTTTCCTCTCAGTATCACCGGTGCAGCGAAGCCCAAAGGGTCGTAAATTGAGCAAATGGTAGACAGTATGCCTCTCCTTGTTAATGGGACGTCTTTCATCTCTACTCGGAATCGAAATGTGTCATTCTGAACACACCAAACTATACCAAGTGCTCTCTCGAAAGGTAGCGGGTCACGTACACTTATTTCCTTCCAATCCTTTGCTCTCATGTCTTTTTGTATAGAATCTAACACTTTCCTGCTGTTAGTAATCCATTTATGGAGGGTAAGACCTGCCTTGGCACATAACTTAGGCGTGATCTACAAATTATCCCTAACGACAGAAACGGGTCAAACACGTTTACTATTGTTATATGACAAGCTCCCAAACGCGTCTGTGAAATGCCGTTTGGAAGCTTGTCGTTCGAGCCGTTTATTCCGTTTGGACTCCTCCCCTTTTCATATGGCTGACTGCTCGTGAATGGCAAAATGTTAAACGCGTTCAGCGAAATTTGGAATTTGATCGTGATTTAAACAACTTCAAAACTTGTTCAGTGTCCCTACCGTACCTAGGATATGTAGGCCTAGGCCTATATTTATAATAATAGTAGTAGCCTGGTAGTAAAATGCTAGCCTACGCTAGGTGACAGTTCACGAAGAAATGTTTATAATAAAGGCCTAAATTTAATTATTTTCCTTGTTGGGGAAACCCCAATGTTTCTTGTATTTTAGTAGGCTAGGCCCTACCTATAGGTTTTATAGAAGAGAAAGCAATCGCCAGTAACCTTGATACCCAGATTATATTGTGCGATGTTCCAATTGACCTATCAAAACAAGTACCTTTTGCCAACTTTCTAATTCCCACGTGCCTGCACAGCCCGCACAATACAGCATATAAACACTGACCTGGATCAGCCGCAGTTGAAGAAGTTCGTTGTGGCGATCACAGTATGCTACGGCATTGTGTTTTACTTTGTAGGCTATATGAATTTAATACATGTTTGTATTATTATATATATTAGTATGTTTTAAAAATGGTTAAACCATGGCACATGTTTATATTGCTGAACAAGGCAGTCGGCTATTCCCTTCCTGCGGAGGAGCAGCGCGTTTACATTCCTGAAGGCGGCGTTCAAAGAATCAGACACTAGAGCGTCTACATTCCTGAGTTGGCGGAATGCTACGGCATTGTGTTTTACTGTGTAGGCTATATGAATTTATATATATTGTTATATATATTTTTATAATATATATATATATATATATTTATTATATTGTGCGATGTTCGAATTGACCTATCAAAACAAGTACCTTTTGCCCAACTTTCTAATTCCCACGTGCCGGCACAGCCCGCACAATACAGCATGTAAACACTGACTTGGATCAGCCGCAGTTGAAGAAGTTCGTTGTGGCGATCACATGATATCGCACGTAGAACAACGTATGCTACGGCATTGTGTTTTACTGTGTAGGCTATATGAATTTAATACATGTTTGTATTATATATATTATTATGTTTTAAAAATGGTTAAACCATGACACATGCTTATATTGCTGAACAAGGCAGTCGGCTATTCCCTTCTTGCGGAGCAGCAGCCGTTTACATTCCTGAAGGCGGCGTTCAAAGAATCAGATCAGACACTAGAGCGTCTACATTCCTGAGTTGGCGGCGTTTAAAGAGAAGACTACTGTATATGATTGACCTTGTGTCTGCTTCTCTCATGCTTCTCCTGATCGTGGGAACCTACTTGTGTAGGAACGTTTCTCACTGAATTCACTGTTACTAGGCAATTTGCAGTAATGCAAACTGGTGGTATATGCCTATTTCAAACAGTTTATTTCCGTTCATGACAAAGTAAGAATACGAAACAAAGTGAATTGATTTTATTTCTGAACGGGACCGGTAGCGGCAGGATTTGGCAGACGGGGATACGATGTCTCCGACAAAAAATCACGAGGCAAATATTAAAACAGTGTAAATATTTATTTTATTTCCTTCAACTTAACTTATATACCGGGATGGTGTCCGGCGGGGGATAGTTTTTACTATCATAGTTTAACTTTTATCTATCATAATCTAGCCCCGAAACCTAGACTCGTGTATTTAAAGCGGCCTGTAGCATGTGTATTCAGCATATATTTGTATTTTTCGTCGATGGATAAATAAATATAAGAATATAAGAATTGAATACTATTTTCTGTACACTACATGTTTATTTGGGTCAGTTAAGAATTAGCACCTAATTAGGCCTATTAATGAAATACAACGGTACACGAACACGTCCCCCATGATGGCAATGTTCTCCCTTCTAAATCTACACAATACGCCCAGAAGGTCATTTGTCAAATCAGGTTCCTGTAACAGACAATCATTTAACGATATTCCGTTAACCGTTTCCGAACAATCAAACACAACGCGAATTTTGTCAGGTTTCCTCGGATGATAGATGCCGGTGTGAGGTACGTAATTTATTTTTCCCTCTTCTGCATTGCATTTGGGTACTGGTTCAGCACATTTGACCAAAACGTCATCCATAAAGGCACAGTAATCCCTTTTGAACTTCTCATTCTTCTTGAACCTTCTACCAAGCTGATGCAGACGTTTCAGTGCCATAGACCTGTTGTCTGGTAGATTAACTTCTTTACAGCGCCTGTCTCTTATACACATCTAGATGTGTATAAGAGACAGGGCATTTCGTAATGACCATCTTGTTTTCTGACAATACCATCTTTAAGACACTGTAGGAATCTATTGTCATCGACAGATAAACCCTTTTCGTCATCCCCATGTTCTATGAAATCTCTGTTAAACATTTCCTTCACTTGCTCAGGACAGACTCTTTCTTTCACAGTTGTTTGTACTACCAAGTGATCAGCCTTTGGGATCACTCCGTCCGTCAGCGTTCTATGGCACACTGTGCCTTCACTTGTGCTATGCTTGCACACCGTTCCAATTATTCCCCAACCCAATATTGACTGCTGCGCATAAGGTTGGTTATCATCTCCTGCAACAATGCTCAATGGTCTTATCGCCTTTGGCACATCATTGCCTAACAAGATAGCTACCGGCGCGCCGGACTGAAAGGGCGATATTTTCTCAGCAATGCTTTCCAGATGTTTCCACATTGATGCTGTAGCAGGGGTAGGTATTTGTGATTCTAAAGCAGGTATTTCTTCTCGAGTGAATGCGACAGGTATGTCCACTATTACACTTCTATCAAAACTAATAATCTGCAAATCAGTGATTCGTTGGCAACAAATTAATTATTTGCTACATGCATTGTGGACAATTTAAGATAAGTGGTCTGTCCATTCAGGTTTAGGTCTTCTACAACGTCCTCTCTAACAAAACTAGTGTTGCTTTGGGGATCTAATATACAGTATATAAGCATCTCTTCACTACTTCCCTTTTTCTTTAACCAGACGGGAAGAATCATAGAGTTGTCATTAGTTTTCGCAACATCTCCGCACACTTGGAGTAACCTTCTTTTGGAGACTTTTCACCACATTCACCCTCGTAGTGTAGACAAGTCAGATGTTTTCTGCCACAATGCTTACAGGTTTTCTTAGACTTGCATTGAAAAGCCCTATGATTTCTTTCTGCACAGCAAAAACACAATCTTTTCTCGTTCATAAAGTGCCTTTTTCCTTTGGTAGGTAAACCCTCAAAAGCTTCACAACCGTCGAGGCTATGTTTTCCTTCACAATAGGGGCAATTAATTGGCTTGCTATTGCTTACAGCAGTTGAAAAATTGATGCGTTTCTTTTGTGACTTTTCTGTGATTACTTTCTGTGGTTGAGAAAAACACTGAAATATTGGGTTGTTGGCTTATTTTGCCTTCTTTTGTACAAATGTCGAAAACCTTTCCAAGCTTGGAAACTCCTCTTATGAGTCCATACATATGGATCTCCACTTTGACTGCAAATTGTATGGCCACTTTGCTACCAGCTTTGCATTTTCCTGTGGGTAGTTTAGTAAGTTTAACTCATTGATACTTCTTTTTGCAACCACTACTTCATTAAGTGCATCAGAAAACCGTCTCAATGCCACTGGATCTCTACCATCTATCTTTGGTACAGATGTCAGCTTGTCTGTAAATGCTTTGGCAATAACAGCATTATTGCCATACCTCTGTTTTAACTCACTTTTTGCCTGCATGTAAGCCTCCTTGGACTGTAAAAGAAGATAGCCCCATAGATTTTGGCTCTCCTCCTAAGTGCTGTATCAGCAAGTTTAGCCTCTCATCCGGGCTATTGGCCCGTGCTTCTATGAGTGAGTTAAAAGAACTTAGCCACGCGGGAAATTCTAGAGGATCACCTCGGAATATAGGCACCTCTACCTTTGGTATTCTAAAAGAATTAATTAAGCAGGTAATATCTGCACCAGCATTCTCTTTATGCATAGTAGGATTATTCTTAACCTCAGTACTGTTAAAAAACCTAGACACCTTGGTGTCTGAAGATTTTTCAGGCAGGTTGCTAAGCACCTCATCTTCGTCCGAATTCGAATGAGACTCACTAGCAAGATCTTCCCACATTCTAGACTTTGCTTCAGCCACAGCAATCTCTTCATCATTTGCAAGTGACTCCTTCTTCCTCCGAACTTCTAGCTCTTTAGCTTCCAAAGCCATTCTCTGCTCTGCAAATTTCTTCTTGGCTCTTGCTATAGCCAAGTCTGCACGAGCTTGTGCTGCATTTATTTCTTCTTTTGAATCTCTTGACAACCGAGAACTTCTGCTATTTACACTACCATGGTCTTTGGTAGAAACCTTGCTATGAATACTGCTATTGTCTTTTATCGACGCTCTGCTATGAACACTGTCAGTTTCTCCTCCTTGTTCACCGTTTTGAGCCATCCCTGAATTGACTTCTTAGTGTACTGAAGAGATGTTCAAGTTTACTGCTACTAAGTTTACTGTTGCGGTCGCTGCTTTAGCGCCTCTTAAAGTTGTTTTGTGTCATGTGCTAACACTTCAATAACAAAATCTTCGTACCCATAGGTTTACTGAAAGTAGTGGGCATTTATTCATCTCAAACCTATGAATATTGATACCGTGTACAAACGTAAACTTAGTGTGGGTACATAGCCTGGTGAACTCGTTCTGCTAAGTAAAACACAAAAGAAAACATTCACCAATCATATAGCCACAAAGATAAAAACAATTAAAAAATCCTATAAACTGTCAGTGTTATACATGTAAAACGTGAATGTATCAACAAGCTATTTACCCGTAGCAGCTCTACTCGTACGCACTCAAGCGTGACGCACTACCGCAGTGGCGAATCCTCGCAACTTAATGATGATCATATTTTACGATGATTACTTAATTTAAACAACCTACACAGCATCGTATCCACCTATGGTAATATTATAACATGAATCAATAGAATCACCAAATATTCTTCTTTCATCTAGTCGACGTCTTAATGACTATTATGATGTTATCAGCAGATAAATTTGAGCAATTAGAAAATAGTTATCATGGTATTACAACTGAATTGAACGTGCATACGACGCAGTTAGACCATTCGTGTATGATCGTTAACTAGCAGCATAGGCCCTAGGCCTATATCATACCTGGGAAAACACCAGGCCTAGGAGCATATATAACATAACTTATTCCATCAATACTGGACTAATCAACAAGTATTATATGTAACANTTAACTAACCTTCAACAGTGTTTATAAAAACTATTCTAAACAGAAATCTTTGTTTACGAATATTTCTCTAGCAGCTTGCATTCGGTGGTTCTAGAACATTCCTTTCCTGCAGTAGCGTAGTGCCCGTTTACCTTGCCAACACTTTAGAGAGGGCAGCAAAATAGAAAAAACCAATATTCGACAGCAGTTACAATGAACGTTCTGCATGCCGTCATGTTCTTTGTGGAACAAGTTTCCACCCATGATGTAGGCCTCTTCCAAGTCATACCAGGTCGAACCATAGCGCCCTCTAATGCTTCTGGCTTCAAATAGGGCCTTTTTAATTACTTCGATAGAATCTGGTAAGTAACTTAGTTTTTCTATGACTGTTTTGGTTGTATTCCACTGGAGGGTAGCGCTTCTGTTGCTTGCAGGACACTATCCCTTGCCATTGTCTCGGACTGTCGAGCGTGATGTACTATAGGCCTAGGCAGGTCCGCTGTACCGTACGCAGTGTAGTAGGCTAAGTAGAGTTGGTAACGTAGGTGTAGGCTAACTAATTTCTCTAGCAGCAGTGCTAGGCAGTAGACGTCAAACTAGCCTAATCAATCGTGTGGTGCTGAGTGTTTTCACTATGCCGGCGTCCAACCGGAGGTACTACTACAAAATAAAATATATAATGAAATGGAATGAATTGAAGGGGCGGATACAGGATTTAGCAAAAGGGGGTAGAGGCGCCAAAGTAAAGATGGACGACCAGAAAAGACACGAGGTACCGAGGGCAGGGACGGATCCAGCCTGCCAGAAGTGGGGGTGGGGGTGGGGCGCAATCTGCGAGCGAAGCGAGCAGCCTTAGGCTGGGGGCCTGGGGGCCGCCTAGGGCCCCGGCAGGATCCAGGGAAGGCGTACGCCTCTTACGCGCCACCCCTCCTAAATCCGCCACTGGAAATAGGCCTAGGCCCTAGGTTTAGGTAGGCTTACTTTGTTTCATGTCAATTACAGACAGGATTATACAATTCCATACAGTATATCTTGTAATTTACACCATATGATTAAATCATATCGTACATGGTTACCACTATGGCCAGCAAAGAACACTAAACATTAACTTCAAAACTAGAACATGGGAGTGCTTGCCATTCATCTTAGGTCTAGTCCATGTTTTCCTCCTCTAAAAAAGGGTTGCCAATGGCCTAAGGTCATATTTCAACAATAGAGGGGTACTATCAAAAAAACTAAACAAGAGAAATAAACAAACGCCTTTAAGGACACCAAATGTAGTGGTCCTGGCTGACACAAAATACAATGTAGCAGACACATACAAACTTGAGGATCTGCTCCAATATTTTATTAGCAACATGCAATAAGTCACAGTATTTAAGAAAAAGGACGGTGGTCAAATCCACCTGCGATAAACAATGAAAACTTTCTATTAACATCAATCAAACAGTTATGCAAAATAGCACCCTCATCGTCATGAATAACTTTATTCGTCCTAGTACGTCACACATAACAAAACTCAAATTTTTCCTACCCTATGTAGTTAGCATAAGGAGCCTAAACGAAAATTCCTCCTACATGCAGCCTATTAGGGTTCTACACATAAAACAATCAATTCACCTTTTCATAGACTACATGGGAACAATTAAATCATTACTACTCAATTAATATTACAGTACTCCCGTTACAATCCCTTCTTCAAGTACTCAACATCCTATTTGCGCTGCTTAAACATATTCTATTTGTATAATATTGTGTATTGATGCACACCATTCACATCATATAATTTATAAACAACAATAACACGAGTTTGTAAATATTATCCAAAATAGCATAGATACTTTGTGAAACGGTACTATCTACCAACAATAGCATTAGGCATAGAGTATAAATGTAGCATATCCAAACCAGGCCAGTCAACAGCCGAGCGCATTCATTCATTGCGGTGAAATGTAATACTGTACTGTACTAT